GAGTAGAAAATTAATATTTAAAAATTGAAAATGAGTAGAAATTTAATGCAACTTACAGCACTTAATAGAATTTTAAATTTACATAGTTAATTTATAAAGGTCATTAACAAATTAATCTTTTGTATAAAATTTTATTCTTAATGTTTCATGAAAAATAAAGCCTAAAAATGTCTTGAAAAAGAAGATAAATAACTGCATGAGGTTACCTCTGTAAAAATTCCTTAGTTAATTATCAAATTACTTTCTTTCATGTTAGTTAATCTGATATTATTGTGGCGAAAATTATATCTTCTTTTGTTTCCAGTTATTTCTTAAAGTGTCATTAACATTTCTTGTGCATCTAAATCTTTATGCAAATATGCATTTACAACTTTTAATACCTGAAAAAAAACATGTGTGCGATGTTATCGCCATGTGATGATTTGTAGGTGCTTTAATTTTACCCATGATATTTTCCACGACGGTATTTTTAAACCACTTTATTTTCAACGATAATATTTTGTACCACAATATTCTATAAACTGTGATGTTATCTCTTTGCTTTCTTTTCTTTCACGATTTTTTGGCCTTGTGTTGTTTTCTCCAAGACGTTTTATTCCGCGATGTTTTTGACTGTAACCTTTGTATCTAGCCACTCTAGAATTAATCCTGCTGATTAGAGTTGCTATAAATGGAAAGATAATCACACTGATTACATATCTCAAGGAATGACTGTAGAAAAGTTTATGTCCAGTCCGATTTGGCTACAAGGTCCTGAATGGCTTTGGTGAATGAAAGGGAGTAACCAAAGGGCTCTAATTATGAAATCTGTCCAGAGATTTCTCCAGAAGTACATTGAAAAAAAAAAAAGAACTAAATTAGATGAAATATTATCTTTTGTGTGCAAAGTTCAGTCAAATGTGACATCTTTACTGGATTTGAATAAATATAGTACAGTCAAAAGTCTTTAATCCGGACTCGTCGGGACTTCGGCGATTCCGGATTAGGGTTTTTTCCGAGATTATAGATCATCAGTTTAAATCTTGGTAAGATGGCATGCAGAAGTTATAAAATTAAAAATATATGAAAACCGTAATTTATGAAATAAAGAACAATTATGATCTAAAGGGTTATCAAATATTTACAAAAAAAAAAAAAAAAAAAAAAAAAAAAAAGCTTAATATTATTTGTTACTTTATTAAACATTTCTTTCAATGTAAGTGTGTTTAAGTTGGCTTCGTTTTATGTGATAATACTTTCTCTTAATTCTATACAGGCATAATTTCTTCTTCAGTTACAAAGCTCCGCTGTTCAAGTTCTATAATTGCTGTGTCGAGAATAACGACTAATTTGTCAATCGAAATTTTTTCGTTTTCAATAACCTCTGCGTCACTTTCTTCACTATCGGAAGCGAATTATAATGACGAGGAATTTGATTTAAATCATATCAAAGACGGAGTACATCGAGATGAAATACTACATTTAGTAAGGAATTATAAGACAAATAAAATAAAAACATCTGCCCTGAAGATAAGCATAGTGCTGACAGATCAACTTCCAATTCATTGCGCGCGTGTCGTTCCCTTACCCCGCAGGCAGCGTGAAATTGATAAAACATAATTCAGTATGATTAGATAAATCAAAAGATATGCCTTTATCCATTTTTTGCAGCAATTCCACTTTTTTGGTTTAATGGACTTCAAAAACATACTTTCGCTTTGTAGATCCTTTAAATATTAGTAAATATATATCGGAAATTCTATTTGACATAATCGAAAGTTCAAGCTTACTTTTATAAAATTGCTGAACCAGTCTGCAAAAAAAAATAATAAGCCGGATCCAATTCGAAGATTAAGGAACAACGCAATCTGCAACATTACTGAATTAGATAATTTCAGCTTAGCTTATACCGTCCGTTATACATTAAACGCGTTGCGTAAACGTATTATGCGCATGCGCACACGCATATTCGCAGCCGTAAAGGTCTTATGCGCATGCGTCAAACCGATGCATGCGCAGAAAGTTTGTAGATTTGAGGTCCGGATTATGGGTGTCCGAATTAATGACTTTTGACCGTAGTTTGAAAAAATTATGTCGTGTTACCAGTGGGTACTCAGATTCGCTTACAACATTAGAAATAAAAATAAACAAAAGCACTTAAGAACTTAAAGGTGCTGAAATAATTAGGATAAAAATTGTTCAAAGAGAAGTTTTTGCTGAAGAGCTGTCCTGTTTAACACAGAGCAAAACAATTTCAAAGACTCTGTTTTCGATTTTTGAACAGAATCCCTTTCTTAATGAGGATGGGATAATGCATGTTGGTTGAAGACTCCAGATGTCAAAACTCATTTACCTGCTAAAACATCTGATTATTTTTGCCTTCAAAACATCCCTTCCTGAATTTTTTGTTGTGAGATGCACACAGCAAAGTGTTTCACTGTGGAATTTCTGAAACTTTGATAGAAATATGCAAAAGATACTGGATAATTAAAGGAAGACCATCTGTTAAAAATATCCTAAGAAAATGTATTCTGTGCAGCTGATTCAATTCTTCTCATGCTGTGCAAATTACTGCTCCTTTACTAGCAAATTAAATAGTGACAAGAAAAACTAAATCATGACATTTACTTGTGGTACTACATGAGCTCTTCATTTGGAGTTTATTAGCAGCATTACCACAGAAACATGTCTTCTTACATTTCTATGATTCCTTGTTCATTGAGTACTATGTTCTCAAGTTGTGATGAACAATGCCAAAGCTTTCAAGCAATCAGAACTTGAACTCAAAATCTTATGAACTGACGTAAGTCACACAACAGTAAGAGACTTTTTATGCCTCCCACAAAATCCATCGATGCTACATAGCTGAGAAAGCTGTATCATGAGGTGGTCTCTACAAAAGACTAATCAAATCCATAAAACTTGCTTTAAGAAAAACTACTTTATCTCAAGACAAGTTAAAAACTCTAAGCATTAAAAATTAAGGTGTTCTTAATTCTTATCCTTTAACTTATGTTTATTCTGAATGACAAGATCCTATGCCACTAACTCCAGTTCATATGCTATTGGGATGCAAAGCAAATAGTTTGCATCCTACCAGGCTTAATTTCGATTCTAATTTAGTAAATACGAAAATGCTAATTAAAAGACTTAATTATCGAGAAAGATTTGTAAGTATGTTTTGGAATTAATAGAAAAAAGAATATCTTTTAATCCTAAGATCTCTTCATTGTGTCAAGCCTACCACTAAAATAACTGAATTTAATGATATTGTATTAATTAATGATGATAAACTACCTAGACATTTCGTGGCAGAGATGGAAAAGTAAGGTCTTGTGAAATTAAAACTGATACATCAGTCCTCAAACTACTTGTGCAACTTTTATATAATCTCGAAATCACTGAATAAATTTAATTGTTTAATAATTTATACTATTGTTACAGGATTATTCCAGATCTGTGATAAACGTGCTAACGTATGAAAATTACAAATTGTCAATTTACTATGTTATTGCTCAATCCGGGTAATTCGGAAAATTGAAGGTGAATGATTCTCTTTTTATAGTTAATAAGTGTAATTTCTTTTATATATTTTAATAGTTTGAACTGAACATTGTAAGAGCGTCTTTTGTTTAAAATTGTGTTAGTGTCAATGTATGAATGAACCCCTGATCATTCGGGGATGGGCATGTAGAAACTATAATTACAGGGCGCAGAAGGTGTTGTGCATCTGAGTTCCTTCGAGTTGATTTAATACCTTTAAGATTGCGAATAATGTTTAAAGATAATTTTTGTATATGTAAATCATAACTGCATTTATACCTGTTTTCTTCATTATCATATATTGTTTGTGTCATCAATAAAACTGGATAAAATGTCATTGACTAAATTGATCTCAAGTGACAGGTAAGGGGCTTTAATTATTTTATTTGTTTTGAATATTGAACTGAATCTAAAGCGAAACTAAATTAGATGTAATTCTTAGTTACATCAGTATTTAGCTATGAATAAAGAAAGTTAATTGAAAAACCAGAATGAAGTCATGTCACTTGTATTTACAGCTGTTCAATACAGAAACAATCACTAAAGGACCAATATTAAAATAATTCTACACCTGCACCATGATTGAGATTATTATTTTTTCCATCATGCAGTTTACAACAAGTTCTTCTTTACAGTAATGGATAAATCCCTGTTAAATATTTTCATAGACAACACATCCTAATTATTCATTATACTAAGTTGCCTTTTAATCCTAAGCTCTTCTATCTAGATGAAACAATGGCCCACCAGCGGCCGAGCGGTAAAGTCGCTGAACACTGGTAGTTCGTCCGAGGTTCGAATCCCGCGAACGGGCTGGCTGCATGGTGTTTCGTGGTTTTCCCATGTGTAACGTGTATAACGAGCCAGTTTCCCTTAGAAAGTCCTCCACGAAGGCATCCTCCTCTTAGGCAGATAGCCCTAGTGTGCTTTGCCATAATTAAATACACCACACCACTAGAAAACAATCCCTTCCCATATAATCTTATTTATTATTTATATATTTATTGAAACTGAGTTTCTGTCAAAATGGAATTTACATATTCTGAGTAACAACTCATATGGTGTAACTATTATTAGTAACTCATCATAATATCGGTCAATTAGCCCGTTCTTTCAACATCATAATATCAGCCAATCTGTATTATTGCAGCTTTCTTGAATGTAACATTCAATTAATACTTTTATTCAATTAAGATCACTTTAAATCAATTATATTAAAAATTTCATCACAAGTAAAAATGCTATTACTTTATATAACTTCTATGGTATTACCTTATATATTAGGATAAAATGAGTGGCATAACATAAAATATTAATTTATGAATAATTTGTCAGAACTCTAAAGATATAATTTTCTCCTAATATTTATTTATAATTATGCTGATGGATCCAGACACGCAAAACAATTCTGTTAACATTTAGATTATAAATATATGTATATAGGGTAAGGATCTAATGAAAAATATAAAAATACTTACAGCTTTTAAAAATTCTTTTATGGTAGCTAACTCAGTAAGCAGTTGCACATCACTTGGAAATGAAACATTAAATGTTGATTCTTTAATAAGCTGTCCAAGTTCAGGATCACTCAAAGCTAATTCCAAACGTTTTTTAGGATCAGCAGGAAGAGATTTTAGTAAAACTGGTTGTGCAATCTTGGAATCATGAAGCTGAAAATTTAATATTTTTTTAATGTTTTTAATGAACTTAAACATCGACTAAAACTGCAACAGTACACACTCATTGCAGGATTTACGTATAAACTACAGAAGCTATAGCTTAGAATTCCAACTTTCTTGGGGGTCCCTCAAAAATTTAAAATACAGTATTAAAATATTGTATAACAGACTTATAAAGGGCCCCATGTTTCAAATAGCTTAGGGCAAAAAAAATCAGCAAAGTCAAAAAATAGGGAGCTGTTTTTTTTTTTTTTTTTTTGTTTTAGTCTATGTGTTTTATGTTTGATCAGATAGCCTGGCTCAGTAAAAGTAGACAGCCAGTGTAACTCTGATTCAAAATCCCGTTACGACTACGTGCAGTGCTGATAACAACCACATGTTTCTGAGTTTGAAACATGCAGAAACACATGGTTGCCTTTATTTTTCTTCTTTTTTTGCCTTTCTAGTAATTTCATTCTCCTGATGAGGAGGGACCTTTAGCTGCCCTCGAAATCAATTGAGTGTTTTAATATATGTATGCTAAATACAAGGTTGTTATTGTGATTTTGATTGTTATCATGAAGTTTACATAGAAGAATAAGTGAAAGTTGAAAGTCTCAGAAAATAAATGATTTACATAATATTCCCGCCAAGAAATTTTCATTGAAATTTTTTAATAAAAAGTACCTCAGTTTGACTTTATTCAAAATGCTTAAGTGTTAATTCATTAAAGTCCGTTAAAACATTCTTTTATTCATGAAACAGAAACCAACTACACAGCATTAATTATATTTACATATTAATAATGCTCAAACTGCTCACATCTTCTATTCTGGCTTGAACTAAAAATAAATGAATAGATACTGAACACTTTTTATGGGTATTTTCTACTGAGTCGTTAGGCAATTTATAATAAGTAGAACTCTCGAGACATTAATGATATTAGATTAAATTTACTCAATTAACATTAATGATATTAGATTTGGGATAAAATCTCATATTAATTTTGATAATCTCCTAAATGCAGAACTGGGCATTCTAGAGATCAGAGAATTTTATAATGTCTTTCTGAGTTTTATTTACATTTTTCCCCTTCTAATTTTTTTATTACGTCTGGATTGTTTGCACATTAACACATGTATATCATAAGAATTATGTAATTTCTTAAGGTAATAGTAATTAAATTAAGATTTATTGAATATACATCTATTACATACAAAGAAAATGTCAATAAAAGGGAAGATTGTAGTGTAATTTGTTTTAAGAAGAAAAGAACTTTAAAAAATTGCCAAAACAATTGGAAAAATTGTATAGCCATGAGTGAAAATACTTTCTATGTACATTTTACATTCTTAAATGGAAACAAACATAAATCAAATAAGTACACTGTCTACAGAACCACAATAGTCAAGACTTCCCATAGCTGAATTTGTATGGTGAATCTGCCATTATATGCCATACATGCAAATTAGTTTAATAATGCTGCAAAAAGGTGCTAAAATTGAAATTTTTGATTTATTGAAAAAAGTTTCAGTTCTTTACCACGTTTTCTATTTTTAATACAAATAAGAATAATAATTTTAAGGGCTAGTTCCAAGAATCTACCCCATTTGTTGCTGATAGCGTGCTTGTTGTACAGATGTAAACAAATACCAGTTGCAAAGAGCATTTAATTTTGAATGTAATGCCTGAAAATTTGTCAACATATAAATCCTCGACACATTCATATCAAGTAATGACACAACAAGCAATTTATTTAAAGAAAAATATTAGCTGACATTTACAAGCTTTATTTTTCTTTATAATGATACATGCCAGTAAAGATTAAATAATTTCATTAAGAAAATGATTTTTTTTTTTTTTTTTTTTTTTTTTTGTAAAACTACAAATATTTTATTTTCTTTTTTTAAAATATATATAAGTAAAATGTCTTAAATTTCGCATGCTGATATTTTGAAAAATCTAGATTTTGTTTGTTCACATTCCAAACTAATTACAGGTACTTCTGGCAGATTACAGGTATTTCTGGATTAAGCCATCGTGGATTATAAGAACTGTACTTTACTACAAAAGTAACTGCCAGAAATTATATATACATCTTTTAAAATTTCAAGCGTTCAGGATTGACAGAACAAAACAAAATTCTGTTATATAATAAAGACAAAAAACATTAACAAAAAAATGAATTTTGACAATCTGAATATTAAAGATTTCATGAGTATATGATTGCAACATACGTTAATAAACAATAAAAGTTCCAAACAAAAGATTATGAAAAGTGTAATATGAATTAATAATTCTACTAGGTTTGAAGGCAAAGATGAATTGAAATTAGAGTCGTTAACTAAGAACAGAAAGATTTTTTGTATTGTTGGTCCGAAAATTACACTTTCTATTTTTCTGCAGCCAAAATTATTCAAAAAACATCTTTCACTGGGGAAATTAGATTTTCTAGAGGCATTTCAGATTTAAACCCTTAACTGCCGCGGGCGTATATATACGCCTTGCTCAGCCGATGCGTTAACTGCCCCAGGCGTATATATACGTCCTTCCAAACTGCTATCATTTGCTTTTGCGCTGCTACACCTAAAATTATTCGCAAAGTTAACGCATCGGCTGCGCATCTGGGGCAGTTAACGCATCGGCTGAGCAAGGCGTATATATACGCCCGCGGCAGCTAAGGGGTTAAAAATCTTTCTGTTCTAGTTAACGACACTAATTTCAATCCATCTTTACCCTTAGTATTTAAGGAAATTATGTTTTAGTTTTCTTGTTTCGTCAATAGATGGCTCCAGTTGCTTAATTCCTGTACAGCCATTCTTATCATTATATCTTATAAAAGTATGAACTAATCAAAAATTCAAAATATTCCACATATGCTAGTAAATTATAATTTTCTTATGAGCTTACTTGATTACAAGTCAAGCAAGCAAAAAGATACTAGAGCATACTAAACAATACATTTTGTGTTAAAATATGAGAGGTACACAAAAGCGTTTTACCTCATCTCCAAAGTCCATGTGAAGCATAATAGGACTCTTCCCAAAAAACCTCTCATTAGTTCGATGAGCTGGCAAATCATACTGCCCACTAAGATCTCCTACCTATTTTTAAAAAGTACTTATATGAAGGCTTTTAAATGTTAGCATGATAGTAACATAAAATGTGTCAATAACATATTAATTTCAGTATCAGTTCCCTAAAATGCTGTTAAGATAATTACTGTTAATTCAGAAAAATATAATAGTAATATTGTAAATAACAATTATAAAAAATGCAACACTTGACTAAGTTGAACCAACATTATTAAAGCATAGAACAATGAAAACCTAGAGCATTATCATAAGAAGATAGAAATCTATCTAAATTTATTTCTTCTAGAATCGCAACATATTGCACAACAAAATTTCAGAGCCCAACAAACCTTCAGTCATATCAAAATTTGTCAAAGTAGAAACTCAATATTTTCTACAGACAAAATGAATAAATTTTTCTCAATTAATCAAGAAAACCTCTTTTATTTTAAATATGTACCAAGTCAAACTTTTTTCAAACATGACTGAAGCTATTTTCTCCCTTTTTCTTTCACTGAGTTATCGACAAGCCATAAAAAGGTAATTTCATTAACCTCTTTATATAGCATTCTAAAATAATGTGCACTCCCATGGCTGTTTTTTTAATCATTTAACCACACCCACAGGTAACGAGCTCTTACTTGTGTCAGCCTTTAGGTAGTCCCTCCTCCCAAATACAATTTGTGTTTTTATTTAAATATGACTTGCTTGATATTCTACATTTTTCATCTATGTTTTAAATTATTTTATATATTTCCTTTAAAAAAATCAAAAGATAGCATCTTTAAACCATTGTATTTTTTACACTATTTACACTAATGCTTTTACAACAGGTGAAACTTAATTGTGATCACATTTATCCACAGCTATTTTGATAACTGTAATTGAATGATAACATTAAGCAATGAGAAATAAATATGCTTCTAATTTAATATAAATACAACAAAGATATAAATAAATATTTTAATTAGGCAAATGAAAAAATGTGTTTACATTTATTTTTTTGTTCCTAACATCTTCAAAGCAATAGTTCATTTAAGAACGGTTTATAATATTTCTGGGAAATACCTGCCCAAGGCTATGTCCCTAATTTTAATACCCGAAAGGCATCCCTCATTCACCAAGAGAGAACATGAAGATGTAAAATTTAAAATTAGGCCAAAAAACATCCGAAGTTAAATCAGGCATATATTTTGGTTAAAGTAGATTTAAGCGTGGCCCTTGGATTGTTGTAAGTTATTGTTTCATTTATGGTAACTTGAGTAGTTGAATGTTATGGAAACCCTATTATGACATAATTGGTTATGTGATTGTGGTGAATTTTGAATGATGGGAAAAAATTTATAAGGGCTTGTGGTGTGTGTTGGTTAGGAAGTTCTTTGCTTTTTCTGTGGTTTAGACAGTAAAATGGCTGAATGTGATAAGACTAATTTGAAGTTTCTGTACGATTTGGAATGAAAGGAGAAAAGAGCATTAATTGACTGGTGTGTAAATGAAGGTTTACTTAGTCGCCATTATAAGTGTCCTGTTTGTAGGAAGGAAATGTATATGGTCGAATGTCGGAGGATATTGGCACTACGGAGGATATTTTTTACTCTTATCTTTGAGAATTTATGTGGCAACAATTTATTTTATTTAATTTTAATTTACGAGAATTTATGTGGCAACGCCAGTATACAGATTCTAGTTCAAATAATTTTAGGAAGTTTTTGGATGCTGTTAAGGAATTTAGTTTGACTGAAGGCAGGCAAATTTCTAAATAAGGTAAGTGGATATTTCCTTTGTGTAGTGCCAAGATGAATTTCCTTTCATATGTTATTTGATTGTTTGATTCAAAATGTAGTTTATTGACATTATATATATGAATATATGCATATAGAAATAATCTGAAACTTACATTTTCTAGTAAAAATTTGCTTCCATCAAGAGGTAGATCAATTTTGTTATCAAATCCTAGGAGTTCGAGAATTACCAGAGCTTCTGGCCTTTTCCAAGGTGTAACTGCTGCTAAACTGTGCCATTCTATATTCTTAGAAAAGAAGGAAATAATAAAATTACTCAACTAACAAAGAAATGATAAAAAATAAATGTATGATATTTTATAATTAAGTTTTGCGAACTTTTTCTTATTGTAGATATATTTTAATTCTATAAAGAACAGACTTCTGATTTTCAAATATTAATTAACAATATATATACATAAACAAAATATAAGTGCAAGAACTAGGCATGCATATAAACCTATTAGCTTTGAAATAAGAAAGCCTCATTCAAGTAAGTCAATACAAAAAAAAAAAACACCAATACTTAAAAAATTATATTATGATAAACTGTATTTTTAAAATAAAATTTGCAAATATAATTTTAAAAAATACATCATTATCAATAGAATGCATTATACCTAATTTGAAACAAGGTGTTATAGTGTAAAAAACTTATGAAGTATAGTAACTGAATTGGTTGAGTTACAGTGTAAAAGACCCATGAAAAATATCTTTGTTAAATGTAGATACATACAGATAAAACAATTTATTGAAAAAAAGAAACAAAAACATTTTGTAAATACTAAGAATTTTTAAGGAAAATATCTGAAGAGATGACAGTAGTCATAAGCAAAAAATTATTAGTAATCAGGTTAAAAGTAAATATACTGGCAATACTAAAAAGAATGAATCTAATGGAGATAATAACAGTATTTCTGATATTTCTCAGATATTTAAAATAATGACAGAGGTACAGAATATTTTTGGTTACGGCCTAGGCAGAGTTATAAAAATTTATAAAAGCAAGCTTCCTGAGTTAAGGAAATGTAATAATTTACTTGATAAGATGCAAGTTTTGCACCTTATTTTCGAAGAAATTCACGGGCTATCAAATTGATTAAGTTATGGTCTGTAACTTTCGAGTTACAGACCATAACTGTAACTCGAAAGTGCCATTTGCATGGAACGCAAATGGCTTAACCCACAAAATTGATGAATTACAAATTTTTGTAAATGAGTATAATCCTGATGTATTACTCCTACAGGAACACAAGCTTGGTCCTACAGTTACCTTTGAAATTGCAAATTATGTGCTCTATCGGCTTGACCGCAGATGAACTACCACTCATCCAGGCGGGGGCCTGATATTACTTGTCAAGCGCTCCATTTCCCACTACCACAGCTTTTAGGCCTAGAGGCCCTAGCTATCACAATCACACCACTCACTGCACGCCCAGTCACTTTTATCTCCGCCTATGTGCCATCCAACAGACGTTCACATGTAAATATTATGCAGGATTTTGATGCATTAACCTAACTCAACACTAAAGTCATTCTAGGCGGAGATTTCAACGCACACCACAGCGAGTGGAACTGCAACAATAACTCATTCCTAGGAAATGTAATTCATCGTTTCGCCAAAAAGGCCGGAATTACAATTGCAGCTCCACAAACCCCAACACATTATGACGGAAGACCTGCTACAGTCATTGACTTTTTTCTGGTCAAGGGCTGTGCCGTTAAATCTGTTGACAGCCTAGACAAGCTGTCATCGGATCACAATCCAGTTCTAATGGACCTTGATCTCTCTGTTCATAATGCACCATACAAAACGGCCTTCATCACTAACTGGTCTGGATATACCAAAGCCTTAGACAACACATCAATACACATCCCAACAGCACATACAGGCAATGAGTTAGATGCTATTGTCAGTAATTTCACTATTGAGCTGCAAACAGCTCTTAAAAACAACAGCAAACATACTACTGCAAGACTGAATGAAAAACCTACCAGTGAAATTAAACGACTGATCAAAGAAAGGAATACAGCAAGGAGAGCATGGCAGTGGTCAAGATACCCCCCCCCCCCCGATAGAGCACTCCTCAATCAACTGAATCGCCAAGTCAGGGTCCTTACACGTAAACAAACAGACCACGACTGGGCCATCTATCTGACCTCACTCTCATCAGATGAGGATAGTATCTGGAAAGCCACGAGTAAACTTACGAGATGCTACACTAACATTCTGCCCCTAACTGGCCCTCAAGGAATTGCCTACACCGACACCGAGAAAGCTGAGTCACTTGCTGAATCACTATACTACTCAGTTCTGCACTAACAACATATCCTACTCCCAATACAGAAAGAAAACCTTGTCACTCTAATACACTTACAAAGTTTCCTTATCAAAACCATACACAGACCAACACTCCTCCTGTCAGGCCTTCAGAGGTCTATGATTACATCATGTAAACTAAAAGACCAAAGAAAAGTCCGTGGACTTCGACTACCTGTCAGTAACAAAGATGCTTCAAAAATATGGGAGTTCTGATGATCCTCAAACTTCGCCAGAAGAATAATACAATGATATGCTACATCTCAGCCACTTTCCCGACACCCTGGAAAACTGCTGTCGATTCTCACCCTATCTTAAAACCCAATGGTAAACCAGCCTCGGAGCCAGCATGTCCTATCGCCAGGCCAATCAGTTTACTGTCATCAACGAGCAAAGTGGTGCAGAGTTCATTTCATACAACAACGGTTGATGGATCATCTACCCGAATGTCAACAATCTCCTGATAAATGACCAAGCATGGGATTCAGAAAAATGCATTTCCACTAACCACCAACTATATACCGGAGTTCACTGAACTGATCTCACACCCAGAGCCTTCCAAGAGACAAGTCCGATCACAGGAGCCAGTTTTTCCTTGACGTCTGCTAAGGCCTTTGACAGAGTCTGGCTGGAGGGCCTCATGCACAAAATCATAAACTTGGGCTTCCCAGACTACATCACACGTATCACCTATTCTTATCTCATGGATCGACACTTTGTTGTTCGTGTCAACAACAAAATTTCGTCCCCCAGGCCCATCAGGGTAGGGGTGCCACAAGGGTCAATTTTAGGCCCGCTTTACTTCAATATTTACACGAACGACATACCACATACCCAAGACACTACACTAGCAATGTACGCTGACGACACGGCAATTCTATCAAAAAACGCATCTCATGGCTGTCATTCAAGCACTACAAAACCACATACATGCACTGGAGTCCTGGCTACTGGCATGGAAAATTAAAATCAACGTGGAAAATTCAGACACCACCCTGTTTACAAGGAAAAAATGTATTGATTACAACATACAGGTCACCATGTATGGTACTCCCATCCCCTGGACCAAGCAGGCCCTTTACCTAGGCGTTACCCTAGACCAATGTCTCACCTGGACCCCACACATTACACAGCTCATTAATAAGTTCCGAGCGCGTAAACGTACACTTTCCCCCTTAATTGCTCGGAACAGCGTTCTCTCTACTGACAACAAATTACTCTTTCGTTCAACATTGCTTGAATTATTTAATATTTTAGATGATATGCCAAATTCACCTTAGAAACCACATGCATTCGAAAATCTTCCACAGTTCAACAAGGGTAGCGCTTCTCGCGCGGGAACCTTTCTACAAATGCATATTTACCTGATCCGAAGAGATGATTGTTTAAAATAAGCTTAGAAGGACAAAAAAGGGGAGAAATAATCAAGGTATTCTGCGTTTGCTCATTTAATAAATTTTAATCACACAATTTTGGTTATTATTTACCAAATGTCATAGGAGGTTTTTTTTTTTTTTTTTTTTTTTTTTTTTGATATTAATGATGCATTTGTATGTACTTATGTTTTGCATTTTGTGGGAAATAAAGAAACTGCACTTAAAGCCACCAAATTTTTAATACACATAGTTATCCATCCAAACAAGGGTACTTTGAAGCCCGAAATCTGAACTTGCTTTTGATTTATTTCATATTTTACACAAATTCAAGGAACTTTTATTTAACAAACTTGGTGATTTGAAAGCAATAAGTAGCAACACTGTTTGAAATAAAACATTTTTATCTCCAGCCTGCCATTCAGCAAAATGTAAAATATTTATTTTTCATATTTCATCCACAAATTCAGCCATTTCAAAGCAGTCTGTTGGCACTGCCCTAAATATGATACTTATTTTCTCCACACACCAGTATGCTGCCATTAAGCAAAACATAAGATATTTAACTTTCAAATTTTATCTCTCTTTTACTGAGTAGCAAACCAACTGATTGAAAAACCATAAATGTTATCCTTAAAAATACTTTTTCTGGTTATTAATCTGATCAATAAAAATGCACATAAATCATGAAATGCCTAATAGGAATATTAAATATTTGTTTTTAAAATGGCACTAGCTGGACTTTTTAAAATCATTATATACTTTTTAATAACTCTTTTAAAAAGCAGGCAGCTCAAGTGACTAGTTTTCAAAGAAATAGTATAGTAAATATAAAAATATATATTGCTATACCTAACATTCCATTACGAATTCTAAAGATATTCTGCTTTAAAATATTTTGTTCTTGAATTTTATGTGGCATAACTGTGAAGTAGTGCTTATAATAAAGATAAAAGATTTTTAAAAAAATTGCATTAACATGGCTGAAGTACAAAAACAGATTGATAACCTGTCATGCTTAGCAAGAGTATATAAGACTGACAAACTCTCTAGTAAGACAAATCTGAATTCTTTCCGATTTTCTTTCTTTTTAATTAAATTTATTATTCACTTCTTTTGGTAGATTGGCAATGCTAATCAGTTTCTTTTTTTTTTTTTTTTTTTTTATATGCATCATTTAATTTTGCAATCTGAGATAATCCATTTTTTTTAATTGGATCAAATACAGCAAACCAAACTTCCAATCCCTTGAAATCTGTTATAATGGGATTCAACTGCATGCATATAGTATTACATATATAGAGACATAGAAACTAAATATTTAATTAAAAATTATTAAATTTAAAAACTTTGAATTTAATCAATTCAAAGATGGTTAACTATGTACATGAAGAAAGCAAAAACAAACATTAGGTTGATCTTTGGATTATGGTAACTTGGCGATTTTAAGGCGACCAACCGTGCTACAACAATCTGCTAGTTTTGTTTTGGACGCCATTTTGTCTTCACGAAGTAAACACGTTTCTTTTGGTACTTTTCCGTTTCGCCGGCGCAAATATCGCCAAGCAGACTTTATTGGGCAACAACATACAGTATACACATAAAAAAATTAAAAAAATTAGTTCTAAGAATTCTTTTTTTGAAGGCATAAACATTTTAATATCGCTTAAAATTTTTATAAAAGCCAATAAATAAAGACAATAAATTTGTAAAAAGACATTAATTTAAGAATTTACTATGCTTTCATGGTTCAACATCGTGATTCGCCGGTTTATATCACGTGACCCCAAGCGATCTCATCTCACGTAAACTACTCTACAAAAATCTAATGCTCTCAATAATTATCTACATTAATTTCACGTTAAATCTTAATTTGGAACACAAGTTTAAATGCAAGAAATATTTCAATTCGTACGAATAGCTTACTCAGAAATTATGTAAAACTGCAGTGCTTTACTTAGCTAATGCATTCTCGTTAGAATTGATGAATTTAACCCTTGACTTTACCTTTTCTATATTTTCGGGTTAAGCGCTGTGATTGCATCCTGATTTACTTAATAAAAATAGCCTTAGACATAAAACTGAACTATCTGATAAAAATTCTATGTAATTTTATGCCAGTATTGAAAGAAACAATCAATCTGATAAGAAAAAGCTGTGACTTGTTTTGAAAATGAGGCTTAAAAGGTTACCAGCGAGAATATTCAGTTTGGCATCGGCTGTACCATTATTGGCGACTTTATCGCTTGCGCCGGCAAAACGGAAAAATACCTTTCTTTTCTTTTTATTTACTCAACACTTTTTCCAACAATCTACCGAATTACACTTATGCTAGAAATTTTATCTAACAAAACTGCTTAATCATGACAAATATTCACTGCAAAATTGGGAAAAAGTGCACAATAACAAACTCCTTGCGTGTTTTTCAGAATAACACATACACATAAACCATGTACATGTCGACTTATTTTTACTTAAAAAAACATCCCAGAATTGCACAAAAATGGCATTGCGCACACTGCTTTTTTCTCATAATAGAAAAAAAATTTCACGAAAATGCATGACAATTTTCTGAATCTTTAACCCGGTAAAAAGAACATATATGAAATTACCTGATAGCGAAAAAGTATTACCCTTTCCAAATATGAACTTTCCACGTATAAAAAAATAAATAAAAATATCCAAAAACTTTTACCTCTAAATTATCTATTTATTATAAACGTTACCAACGAATTCATACCGCAAACATACAATGGCAAATACTTAGGTCAATATTTAAATTATTTCCATCAGTTTACTTCAACTGAAACGTATACCAAATTCTAAAACATAAAATCACAAAATAACTATCATTGATTAAATATCACTAAACCATGTACACGTCGACTTATTTTTACTTAAAAAAATCCCCAGAATTGCACCAAAAATGGCATTGTGCACACTCTTCACTTATCATGTACACTGCTTTTTTCTCATAAATTAGAAAAATTTCACGAAAATGCATACAATTTTCTGAATCTTTAAACCCGGTAAAAAGAAATGTATGAAATTACCTGATAGCGAAAAAGTATATACCTTTCCAATATGAACATTTCCACGTTAAAGTAAATAAAATATCAAAAACTTTTACCTCTAAATTATCTTTATATTACAAACGCACCAACTAATTCTACTGCAAACATTACAAAGGGTACAAATACTTAGTGTCAATATTAATTATTTCCATGCACATTTACTTCCACGCTAACTTTTATACAAATTCTACAACACATAATTCCAAATAACTAGCATTTAATTAAAAATATTAATTCAAAAACACTCTTAAAATAAAATAAGCACATACATTAAATAATAAAAATTAGTACATCTAATTACTTTAAACTAAATCATTGCTAATAACAATTTTCCAATAATACAAATTACTTTACTTCCACCTTACATATAGAACAATGCATAAAAATAATATCCTCAAATAATTAAAATACTAACTTACCTAATCTTCTTCAGAATCTTGCTTAAATGGTGGATACACTTTTATTACTGATTCAATAAATTATTGAACGATTTTTTGGAATTTTTCCTCCACACCTTCCTCCACTAAATAAAAATCAAATTCTCTTATCACAATGCCTCGATGGCGCTTTTTTATAGCACTCACGTGCCCTCTATTATATTGGTATGTGCACCTGTTTCGGATCTTTAAATAATATTAGACAGTGCCATACAATCCGAAAATTATTCAACAACTTCAACAAACAAATGAAGCTTAATACAAAAATAATATGCACAAGATTTTTCCAAATTTCCCCCCTTTTCTGATTAAGAACTGTAATTCGTCCATTAATATCACATGACACATATCTCGTGATCTCTCATTTCCCTCACACAAAATAATGCGTAATCGGAACCGAGTTCTGCTCACATTATTACCAAAGTCCTAGGTAGTAACCTTTATCGCCTCCAAAATGTCGCCAAACTACCAGTTACCATATTCCAAAGATCAGCCCAACATTAAACAAAAAACCTGAAAACAATCCTGAAACTAAACTCAAATTAAAACGAACCAAAAATTTAATAAAATTGATAATCCTTTTGTTCTTTTCCAAGAAGCCACTTTGCTTTTCAGTGCTTGGATCTAGATGAACTGCTAAAACTTAATTATTGTGAACTAATATTTATTTTGAGGATAAATTCCAATATTCCTTAATGTTCTTTCAAAACTAAAAACAATAAAATGCACATATAGTACAAAGGTAGAAATATATTTTAATAAACAATTAATACTGATGTAAAATTTTTAAATCATTTATCAGGATACATTCTACCCTACTGCGATGTTTAATAAAATCAGTCTTTTAAATATTACAATTTGTATATAAAAACTGAATCTCTGTCATGCACAGGACTATCAGTTTCGCTCATTCTCAAATTTAATACCTACTATTAAGATGGCTCCACTAATATCCAGATACCAAAAATTTAAATAAGCCAGAAACAATAATGAAAATTCAACATTGTCAGAAATAATGAGCCTGTAAACTATTGTGTTGACATACATTTTAATCACACTTTTTACTATTATTATGAAATATGATTATTTTTACAACATGTGTTAAAAAATTACGACTTTTTTCTTAAATGTTAAATACAAAGTATCCCAATACTGGTGACACCAACAAACACAAAATATTAATCAAAGGTAGCAGAATGCAGTACACAGAAAAAGGAATGAAACTTATTAATTTCGTTCAAAGAACAGAATAAGAAATTAGTAATTTGAGTATTTTTTCATATACAATTAAAGATATAGATCCAGCTTGTCAATATTTTCACAACTGATGAAAAACCTTTCAGCTGGTTTCCATATATATTTGCAAATTCTAAGAGATATACAATTACAAGTGGTATACTGCATAAGTCACTTGATGACATTTTCCATTATTGACAAAAATTTATAATTTCAACACACTATACTATAATTTGCTTAAATATTTTCCAAAATCTGTTTAGTGTATGATGAGGAATAAATAAAACTCATTCTGCATTAATAAGGTAATAAAGAGTTTTATTTATATTCTGTATCATAATTACTTAACATTTCAAAATAATACAGTTTTATAAATTAAAATTTCAACAAACTACACACATACATGCTCCTGAATATTAGATAATAACTACTTTTTCCTGGCTTTCAACAGAAATAAAAAATACTTACTATAAGATACATGCTAGAAAATTAAATTATTTGTAAACAACAAGCTGTTTTAACCAATTACAACAAATGCCCCAAACACAGCAATGAAGCACTATTAAATAACCAATATCTTATAGATGAAATTAATAATAAATGATTATTTACACTTCGAATGGTATAAGATAACATTGCAGAGAATATATCCCCCAAATAGCTTGAGCGTACTGGTTCACTGGATAAGAATTTCACTGATTCTGGAGCATGAATTACAACAACTTCTTCAACTGCTGATGTAAGGTAAAAAGCACCTAAAAATACAGTTGATGCAAATCAATCTTTTATTTAAAAATACAAATATATTTCTATAACATTCCAAATCCATTAAGTTCATGCATATAATATTGTACATTATACACATACATTAAATGTTATGACTGCACTGTTACTTAAATATTGATAAAATACGTATCTAGTAATTTAATTCATTTACGAATTATTATTTGATTGATTAAACTATAAATAAAAATATCATTAAACATAAAATTACATAATTCGGTGTATATAAAATAATGTTACTTTATTCAAATTAGGTCACTATGTAAAACGCAATACAGAACTTTAAACAGCATGAGTTAATATGATATAAAACATGAAACTCACTTAAGAAGGCAGAAAAAAGCAAAATAACGTGCTTTTCTTTCAGACCCGCCATGTTTACAAATTTCTCGTGACTTAATGCACGGTTATTCAAGCCACCACAGTTAAACTCAAACGCTTGGTTAGTGCTGCTATCTAGTGACATCAAATAGAAACAAAATATTCAATCCTGAAAATATCTAATTTAATGACAAGCTTCACTTCAAAGAAAATTTTAATTCAAGATTCATTTACTCTAAACTCCTATGTATAAAATAATAAATTCAATAAAAGGTTTTTAGTTAATACGTGTGAAAACTCTTCGATACAGATGTACAGATTTTATACAGAGTTTCTACAGCAGTTGTAGTAACTGAAAGTAACACTGTAAAACTGAAGTTGGGCCTGGTGATTGAAAACTCTTCAATCAATGCAAACAATGCCGGGATGTCGCTGTGAGCACGCGACATATCGAACTCAGTGATACTTATGCTGCGGGGGCACATGACAGTGAAGATTGACATCTCTCTCTATATATATGTGCTGTGCACCGAACAAGACAAACAAGTCAGATAGATGTCTTATTTTGCATTCGCTAAGTCTTTTTGCACCGATGGGCGAAAAATCAAGCTTAGATGAGAAATAAAGGTAAGGAAGCAAGCAACTTCGTATTTCAGAGGAAAGTAAAAAAGAACTTCGTACATTTTATACGAGTTCGAAGACCAGGAAGAATTGATGGTACAAAATAAAATTAAAATAATGGCCCAAAAATAATAGAGGGTGAAAAAAAGAGGACCTATAAAAAGAAAAGGGAAAGAAGGAGAAAATTTGTTAAAATACGATTGTGTCCATGAGTGTAGTCGAAAGGAGGAGGAAGCTATGTTCATTTACAACAAATAGTGTCTCCCAGGCGCGTGTAGTGAGAGTCTTTGGTAAAGCTGTCACAGTGGCGTAGCTAGGATGGGGCAAGAGGGGACATCTGTCCCCGGGCGCAGCATCCAAGGGGCGCCAAACTGATGTGATGAAATTTCAGACTGAAATGTTTTCCATTCTTGGCACAGAGAAAGAGCCACAAAATCTTCAGTTGTCCTCGGACGCTGAAAACCCTAGCTACGCCTTTAAGCTGTCTAGATGTGATGATGAGGGGGAAAAATAAAAATTAAAAAATAATAAAATAAAGATTGAGAGTCCAGTTACATAACAGTATAAGCCTACCTATGAAGTTAACTTTAGCTAAGACAAGAAAGTAAAAATTAAAATATTTAAAGGTTAAAAAAGTATGTCCTAGCATGGAAAACACGATAATATGTTAGACCTTGAGACCTAACAAAAAGACTTAGCGGGTGCAAAATAAGACATCTGTCAGACTTGTTTGTCTTGTTCGGCGCACAGCATATATATATAGATAGATAGATGTCAATCTTCACTGTCATGTGCCCTCGCTGCATAAGTATCACTGAGTTCGATACGTCGCGTGCTCACAGCGACATCCCGGCATTGTTTGCATTGATTGAAGAGTTTTCAATCACCAGGCCCAACTTCAGTTTTACAGTGTTACTTTCAGTTACTGCAACTGCTGTAGAAACTCTGTATAAAATCTGTACATCTGTATCAAAGAGTTTTCACACGTATTAACTAAAAACCTTTTATTGAATTTATTATTTTATACATAGGAGTTTAGAGTAAATGAATCTTGAATTAAAATTTTCTTTGTAGTGAAGCTTGTCATTAAATTAGCTATTTTCGGGATTGAATATTTTGTTTCTATTTGATGTCACTAGATAGCAGCACTAACCAAGCGTTTGAGTTTAACTGTGGCGGCTTGAATAATCGTGCATTAATTCACGAGAAATGACAACAACCAACAACTTGATATCTTGAGACGTAACAACAAAAAGACACATAGCATCAGACAAAAGTATATACTATTTTAACTAAACATTTATCATTACTGTTCCCAACATATTCATACATTTGTCTGAAAATAGCATCAGACAAGGTCAAAAAGGCCATACACAATGAGAGCACATCAGCAGAAATAGATAAAAAATTAAATAAATAAATTACAGAGTTTATTTTTATTTTAATATTAAGTAATTTTTTATTAATTAAACATATTATTTATTTTTAATCATGTTAGTACTAGTTTAACAAACTGAGGCACACTGTATTTATTTTAGCTCATAATTCTGAGAGATATATTCAAGGAAAGGTTTTACCACCCGCGGCTACATCTTATAACGAAACTGTACTTGACATCCCCCTTTTTTTCGCCGCCGCTAGTGCGGACCTCACTCTCTTTCATCCGCCTCCCACACTCCTTTCACCCTTCTCTTTCTACCCCCATCCGATCTTTATCAGAAGTCGAGTAAAAAAGATGTTTCTACATCTTGACACTCGAGAATAAAATACGATCTGTGTGTGTGTGTGTGTGAAATATAGAATAATCTATATCTGTCATTCGCGAACTGAAAAAAAAAGTCTGAGATGGAAGAAGTAAATCGCGCAATCTAATACATAATTCGCTGCCCAGAATCAACATTTTCCTTCTCCAGAAATTCCTCAAAGCATGTAAGGTGGTGCGCAAAAGGGAAAGTGCTGACTGACGGAAGCTGATAAGGGGATAGCGTCAGTACGGATAAGTTACGAGAAAAGAACCATATAATTATACTATTGTTTAATGTTAGAAGCTTATGAAAATAATAAATGAATAAATTAAAGCCACTTTAGTAACAGAGATATGAATCAGTTTTGAGAAAAGAAGGACACGTATCTAAATGTTCCCTATCAGGCTTTGTCTTGGTAAACCTTCAGTTTCACGGACCAGACAAACCTTCAGTTTTAGTAATCTTTATTTTCATGGGCGAGACAAATCTTCAGTTTCATGGACGAGACACTAGAGGAAAAGCGAAAAAACTTATTTAGGGACTTGAACTTATTTATTTAAACTTATTTAAGAAGATAACGATTATTGCAACACACATTTAAAAATTTCGGAGCTCTGCTAAAATGCTGTCTCATTCGCTCGTGATCGCAGCACCCCTCCCGCGAGTTGACATTTTGCAAATAAATAAATAACAAATAAAAAACTGAAAGCTTTCAGATTTTAAATTACGTCCAAAGGGTTTTTTTTTTAACGTTTTGTGAGTTACTTTTATTTATTAAATATCATGTTCTGCGTACTCAAACTATAAAATTCAATTCAACAGCAATATCGCAAATTAATTTTAAAATGAGCATATCTTGAATTAGATATCGCAAATTATCTAATCAGAATTGTTGATACACAATCTCGCGCGCTGGAGATAAAAATGGTTTTTCGTACAGTGTTGCCATTGTTCGCTTCGAAATCGTTTAGTTTTTTAATCGAAAATTCGTTGAAGTGTTACAAAATCTGAAATCGATAATAAAACAAATTTCAAATTTAAATTAGGGCTTCCACATGCCCATATTCTATGGAAGATTACGTTATTCAAATTTTGATGGCTATAGATATCGTTGTTTTATCACAATGCGAGAAATATACATACATTTACGCAGATTCTTCATTATTTAATTTCTTTAAATATAAGACAGGACGATAATATATGGGGGCAACGATTTGAAAAGTGATACAGCCTTTTAAAGTTTTAGACTCAAAATGTTAAAACGAAATTAATAGTCCTTCAGGGCAAATTGCCTTTTGGACTAAAAATCTCAAACAAGACAAAAATTAAAGCTAAGAAAAACATTTAGCTTAGGTCCCAGCCAGGGCTTAATTTTTGAAATGGCAGAGCCTTATGGAAAATCCAAAAAAAGCTAAACCAAGATGTATACATAAACAAAGAAAAATAATAATCAAAATTAAATAAACGGCAAAGAGATAAATTTAAAAAATAATGAATTAATAGCAAATAGTTAAATGACAAATTAAAATGCCAGAACTAATTTTATTTGGGCTTCAAAACAAGAATTAAAAGCTATAAAATACAAGAGTTGGTCTCTTTTGTTTTCCAGCTGAATTTAAGCTATTTTATAAGCGTTCAAACTTTTAAATTTTTAGCAATAAACGTAAATTAGATAAACTGATTGTGTTGCACCTGTGTAGTTACACTATGCAAACTCTTTAAATCCCTTAGTTCATGTTCAAACATATTACATGCATTCCAAAAATCTTGTCCTTGATTTGAAAACCGAACTGAAGTGAATTAAAATGATTGTGTAACATAATTTTAACCAGATCTACAGAAGTTGTAACCTTGTCACTTTACAGCCATTGGCGTACCCGCGGAAGGAAATGTGGGTAAAAAAGATACTAGTCACATTTTGTTAAAAGCCCGCTCTAGGAAATTATGAGGTGTGTCAACCAAATAATTCAAACTTAGAGATCACAGACTTTTACCGTGTACCCACTACCTGTACGTCTTTGTGAGCGTGATGTTAAATGTACTGCAAAGATCTGCTCAAGACACCCGCAGCGTGGCAGCTGGCCGTTCGCCGCTTCCCTTTGGGGAACTTCGCTGCCTCTCCATCGTGCAGAAGGAGATCCTCGGAGGGTGGTACCGTAATATATAGACCAGTCCGAATTAACCAGTCCCATGGCATCCGTAGCCCTTTCACCGGCTGTAATACTCACGCCTAACGTGCCCCGATAAGATGACTCCATTAGAAGCATTAATAATAAGCAAAATAATTAATATTTCGTTTTAATTGTTTATTGATATCAATTTATTAACACAATAAGGGGCTAAGACACTTAGGAATTTTTAAAAATTTCAAAAAAATTCTTTTGGCTTAACTAACTAAAAGTACTAACCTGAAAGGACAACTATATGGCACAGAAATTGGCTGAGAAATGGCAAAAGGTGCGGTTTTGCATTGCATTTTCGATTTAAAATGTTGAAAAACTTAAAACAAGTTTTTCTGGAAACAATGCATCTCGTGTTGACATACATTGTATTGTTGTAAAACATTTTTATAGCCTCGAAATTTCACAACAAATTAATAAAAGTAGAGAGCAAATTGATTCCTCTTACCGTGTATCCAGCGCAGTTTCAAGCGAGATCATACCTAATTAACTTGTAATCCAAAAAAAGTTGTAGACGGAAATTGTAAGAGAAACACATTTTTTTTTAATATGAAAATAGATTAAGAATTGTTAGTATCACAGATATATATCAAAAAGGGAGTTGTATAAAAGAGAG